ATTTAGTCAATTAGAAGCTATACAAATTGCAAATCAATCAAAAAGTTTTAATGATGTCACCCTGCCAGAACTTTTCTTCTTTGGGGGCTGATGATCCCATGATATATAACATCTTATGCAAGTGTTCCACAGCTTAATTTTACTTTAGATCAATGAAACCTGACAATTGATGGAATAAATATGATACAATGCTATTATGTTAGGAGTGGCAAATGCTGCATTCAAATTGATTCTGTTTAGATATAATGTTTCCTCAGGTTGTAATGCCAGTAACCACTTAGAAACCATATTGTTTCATGTAAAATTCTAACTTCATCAAACTTGCTAGTGTAGTTTCTATTAGTGATCTTGAAAGGGAAGGCCTTCCTTTTTCAGAAGAAATTTGTTGTTAAGAAAATGATTCTGTGTCTTTCAGATTTATTTTACTTATTTATTTATTATACTTATTTTATTTGAAAATTATTTTTAAAAATAAACTTTGGAGTTAGCAATTACTATAGCTCATTTTCCCAATCAAAAACTCCATTATTTATGATAGAATATTGTAATTTGATGTTAATATTGTAAATAGGGACAGTTAGCTACAATTAAATGCTGTGAAAAAAAAGTAATCATTAATATTTCATACTTCTTTTGGTTACAGCAAACTGTGAGCAGAATGTAATGTGAGCAGAGAGTAATGAAGGAAGAGTAGAGGAAGTGGAGTGGTTCGACGTCCCTGAAATGGGGCTCTGATCTGGATTTAACATGCCCATGCAATTTTTTTAACTTCACCAAATATTTGCCTTTCTTAAGAGTCTTTCCTATCTAAGACAGAAAAAAGCAAGCATTGAGATAGCAGCTTCGTAGTAGGAAATGTATTTCTGTCTTACTATTATTGAGTATCAGTAAAAGAAATTAAACTTTGTTCTTGTAACAAAATTACACATTTTTTTTCTCAAGGAATAGGCTGATGTTTTATTCCACATTTGCAATCGCAAATGCATAAGTAGAAGTGACAGAAATTCCAGAAATAATTGTTTTTGTTGCCTGATGGGTAACTAAAGGTCCTCATTACAGGAATTTTGCTTAAATTTCATAAGTCTACAAGACAGCTACAGTACCAATGTATATTACTTGATACCTAATGAAAGTAAGTTTTAATTTTTCTGAATGATGCATTTCTAGATGCATATAATTTGTAAAACCACTAGTAATTTGTACATCTTCAGATTAGGAAGATATCAGTACATGGATTTGCCAAACACTGTTTATTTTGAACAAATCAATGATATGTTGCTTTAACATTACTTTTCTTATCATTGAATGAATGTAGTAAACATATATTTTTAGCTAAACAAAAGACACTTACTCCTTCTGTATGTCTCAGTTTGTACTTGGAAGCAGATAGAATTTAATATGTTGAATTTCTTTTTAAAATAATGTTTTATTTATTCTTTGAACTTCATACACTTAACATTAATCATATTTATACTCCTCCCCCAACTTTTCCCACACCCTCCCTCCCCTTTCTCCCTAACCACCAAATTTTTGGGCCATGGAAGGGCATCTTGGTTCATTGGTTTGCATGGGCCTGGAACCCTGAAACTGCAGGTGTTCAGCCACGCCCCCAGAACCCAGGGCCTTGACACGCAGTCTAATCTCCGGTCTAATCTCCATTTAACCTGTACCTCAGTCACGTAAGACACAGGTAGAGGGCGTGACTAACAGGCTTCCGCCTCAAGAAATTTACATATTAATGAGTTATCTAAAGGCCTCCTCTTTCCCACTCCCCTATATAAGCCAGCTCTCTCCTGGTTCTTGTGGGGCACATGCACATCCAGATCCAACTTTCACACCAGACAATAAACTTCTTCCACAGACTCCACATGTCTTCTGTGCCTGCCAACAAGCTTCCAGCTTTTGAAACTTCAGACATTTTCCAGTATGTGGGACCTGCCTGAGACCCACTAGTGGGAAAGCCTCCAGGACTCTGCCGCTGCCCGTCCACGGGTTGTTGCCACACACAGGCCCTGGGCCGCCCCACTCGTGTTTTTCCCACATCAAATCAAGTCTAGCTTGTGTTGATTGACTACTCCTTGAGATACACACACACACACACACACACACACACACACACACACACACATATATATATATCCTGCTGTCCAGGCCATGTGTCCTCCACAAGCTCCCAACTCCTCTATTCTTATGGCTGTTTTTGTCATCCTTCATGCTAACTCTGCTATTGCCCAGCCTCTCCCTAGCCTTCCCAACACCTACCGCTTATGATTCTTTGCTACGGAAACCTAAAATGGATACAACAAAATCATCAGAACTCAGGATTGCTTACTTGAAGCATGTTGGACTTGTATTTAGATTTGCCTACACCTTGCTTCCATCTCCACTCTCCCTAACCCTTTCCTCTGCTTTCCTTACTGAAACACAGGTGAGTGTTTCCAGGAAGTATCCACATATGGAGATTGCAGATATTAGAGATCCAGAATGGAATCCAACTGCCATGGTGGCATCATGCTCGCCAACCTCAAAACTAATTTTCAGTTTTCCATAAGGTGGGATGAAAGTTGGTATATCAGAGTTAAGGATAAACTTTACCCTAATGGCTATGCCAAATATCCCATAGCTGACCTACGTGTCTCCTGTGAGATTGTTCCCACCTCCAAATCAATATTTACCCATATTAATACTCAACACAAAAATCTACCTCAGAAGCAACTCTAAGCTACCCTCTCCTGTACGGTACATCCAATATGCAGCTGACCTTCTTCCCTTATCCACCCATCACAACTCCTCCCAATGCATTTTCTGAACTTCTATCCCCAAACCACTATTAACAGTGCTTCCCATTAACATTTCCCTTCATGAACTCCATGGACTCTTACCCACAAGTAAAGCACAAGACATTATTCTTCTTGACTAACCTCCCTCACTTTGTCTTGTAGGACCCTCCTTGAAACCCCATGTTATAGTGCCTGTGACATCATCTCCACCACCAAATTAGTATGTGTTAATCCGCCTGCTCTGCTCTGGTACAAAGGCACTAACAGGTTCCTGTATTAACCCCTTTCCCAAGGCTTCTGCACCCCTGTGATAATTGTTTCCTGAGTTTATCTCTACAAACCTGAAGAACTCGCCTTGCAGATGGGAGGAAGCCAAAAGAAGAGAGAGATCTTCATCTCTCTGCTCATTGGACAGGACCTAGCTGTTTCTCTGGGTGCAAGTTGTGGGGCTGTGAACCATGACAGGAAGCCTGGTATAACTGAGCTTGATAGGAAGCCTCAGGTTCCCAAATGGAGGGCAGGAGCTTCACCAGCTCTTGACACCAGTTTCCTGTCATATAGCCACAGACCCCCCACAGAGAGAATTATGACCATCAGTCATTTAGAGGCAGCACCCCAAGTCCTTCCACATGTAGACTAGGCATCCCTAACATCTCAGACCAACCCAATAGGAACCACTTGCTGTAAGACCCCAACCTACCCCAAAGTTGTAAGATCTTATCCTGAAGGAATAAAGGAGTGAGAATTACTCCATTGCCTGAGATCATCTGTCCTATAAGAGATGTCACATTTCCTGGAAAGAGAATGCTCTCCCTAAGCTTTCACAGCTAGAAGCTTCCCTGCACCTCCACTTGCTAGCCATACCCTCTGCTGGTACTTCACAGTGCAGCGACTCAGAGCTATTGCAGCAGTGGCTAAGACAGCAGCATCAGAGCAGGGGTAGCTGTTGTACTTCCCCCTCCCTGATTGCACCCTTTCTCCTTAACTTGAACACCCCCACCAGGCTGGGCCAGATGTCAGAGGATAGTGTCCTATGCTCAGACCAGCATAGGTATGCAATCCAAATATTGCAGTGTACGGGTTGTTATAGAAAAAGAAGGCACAAAGGTGGGGAATATGGAAATGGGATTGTTCTGGGAGGATTTAGCAGAACTAGTTGGAATGAATATGATACAAATATATGGTAAGGAACTATCAGCAAATTAGTACAAATATGTTCTTAATATTTCTTTTAATTTAGTCTCTGATTTATTGGGCCCATATTGTACATAATATATCATCACATTATACAGAATGCTACTATGTAGTACTGCACTTCCTTCACAGGCAACTGAGTACTACAAAATGCTACTATGATATTATATTATGTGTGTGTGCATGTGTGTATATGCATGTGTATGTGTGTGTGTAAGTGTGTGTGCTTGTAATGTGTGGTTATGTGTGTGTGTGTGTGTATGTGTGTGTGTGTGTGTGTTTGTGTTTGGTAGGGGTTTCTTACCTCCACATGTGCAAAGGTCAGAGGAAGGTACTGACAGACATACTCCATCACTCTCTGCCTTATTCTCTTGAAACTGTTTCTCACAGAACCAGAAACTTGTCCTGCCTTGTTATACTTGGTTCAGTTTGGTTTGGTTCAGTTCAGTTTGGTTTGGCTTGGTTCAGTTGGTTTGGTTTGGGTAGGTGGCTGACCAGCAAGCTCTAGAGCAGAGGTTTTCAACCTTACCAATGCTACGACCCTTTAGTATAGTTCCTTCTACTGTGGTGACCCTCAACCATAAAATTATTTTGTTGCTACAACTATAAATTTGCTACTGTTTGGAATCATAATGTGAATATCTGTGTTTTCTGATGGGCTTAGGCAACCCTTGTGAAAAGAACATTTGCTTCCCTTCAAAGGGCTTGCAACCTCCTGGTAGAGAACCACAGCTCTAGAGCTACACTTCGCCCTAGCCCCTGACCCATCACTGTGACTGTAAACTTGTGCCTCTACACTGGGCTTTCATGTATGTCCTAGTGATTGAAACTCAGATCCCAATAGTTGTGCAGTGAACACTCTTCCATCTCATCCACTGAGACATCTCCTTGGCCCCTCAAAATTTTTAAGTGGTTTCCTATGTAAGCTTATGTTAGTGTAAACATTGAACAAAGTCTGCTGAGTATATTGCCAAGTATATTATAAAAGGGTATTAATATAAGAACCATAAACACGGTCCTAAGTTAGGATAATTTATTGCAAAAAGTCAAAAAGTCTACATTTAAGACATGACAGAAGAGAAATCAGGGGGCATAAAATGGAGAATTACAAGATGCCAAGCATTCCTTCAAAGGTTTACATGCTAAATGGTTGTCTCAAAGGCTTGGATGTTAAATTGTTTTCTTCTTGATTTGGTTCACAGTACGTACGTTCATTTAATTTAGTCCTTGTATGAGTTTGGGGTAATGGTCTTATGTTTAAGATGCTAGTTCTTCTGGAATGCCTTTCAGTAGAAGCGGGAGAATCCATATCCTCCATAATGAAGTGGGCGGCGGTAGCCATACCCATATCTGCCATAGCCAGAGCCATAGCCATAGCCTCCAAAGCCACAGCCACAGCCAGAGCCATAACCCAGGTTTCCAAAGCCATGGAAACTAGAGCCCAAGCCTCCATAGTAGATGCCGTAGTAACTCATGGTGTCAAGAATGGTAGTTATGGTTTGCTGAGAAAGGGAAGATCTTGAGTGTGAGTGTGATCCTGTGCAGGGGAGGTTTTTATATGTGCTCTGGCTGGAACAGGTGACAGGTCATGCACATACCCTTCCTTTGTGTCACTGTAGATGTTATTTGTAATGTAGCAACTCATTGCTCTGCCGTCTCCTGACACACAAAGGCCCTCATTCTCATTAAAACACTTGAGATTGCTTAATGTTCTATTTAGATTGTCCTTGAACTTATTGTTTTGCTTTTATGAGGAGAAACGGTTGAATAGCCAGAATACACACTCTTCAAACACTGAATAAAATGCCTCATTACCAAGAGTATTACATCATCTACGTGTGGCGGGGATATTTTGATATATAACTAGACATTTCTCTTGCTCTGTTGCCTCTCAAATTGATAACTTCATCTCCAACTATACCCATGGTTATTCGTTCAGCACACAGTTATCAAATCTAAACATCACAGAGCAAACCTATTAATCAAGAAGATTACTTTTTAAAATGTCTAGATTTGTGCTATATGACAATAGTCTAATTCACAAAGTTTCCTTCACCTGATCTGCACTTTAGATCTGGAATCAGAAAACGAAAAAAAATGTGTCAATGTTTGCATTTTAAGTACAATAACCTTTGTAATTGTCCTATTTCACACCAGCTTCATACCTTTCCACCATAAAACATAAAGCAAGTGAGGAAATTGAGAGTGTGAAATTTTTCCTCTAAGCAAGCTTATCAGAGTCAGCCCACGAACTCCTATCTAACACTGTTCAAAATGCAGAACACACTTGCTTCCTTGTTTCACCTGTCCTGCTGATTTTCTTGTCTGTGCATGTATGACTTCCTTTTCCCTTATTCCTTGGGCTTTCTTTCCAGTGCCTACCAGGAACATGCAAGTAAAGTATAATTTATACTTCATATGCTTTCTTATTTGGCTTTTTTTTTCATTTATTTCAGCCAGTGCCTTTGTTTGTCTCCCACTTCTTCAGTTTGCCCCATTTGGATCCCTTCATCTCTGCAGTTCATGGTCTGCCCACTCATCTCAGACAACTTTGACCTACTCCCTAACTTTATTAAAACCTATTTAGCAACATACTGTTTGCAAAATCTTATGCCAGATCCCAAGCTTCCCATAAGCATTTAAAAATTAGGCTTCTTCAAGGCTTATGAAATGAATACATAATGATGAGATGACACAGAATTGATACATACATGTAAAAAATGGGGCATGGTTCCATTAGACTCTGCGATCACAACACCTATAGCCAATTGAGGCCAAGGATGAGAATGGTGAGTACAAAGTCCGATAGGAGAAAATACCAATTTCCAGGCAGGTCTGGAATGAACACAGTCAGACCCTGTTTTAAAGCAAATAGAAAAGTAGGTCAATTTTCAAATTGCATTCTAATATTGTGACTGAATTTTAATTTCAGCCCATGTTAAATTACCATGAAAATACTTTAAAGCTTGTATTATAAAGTGTCCTGTGTCAATCCATTTTGTTAACAGGCTTAACATGAAATCATAAAACATAACAACAAAAATTGTTGAAAAAAATTTCCAAAAGCTCTGAGTAATAATCAAATGGTATTATGCACACTCCATATTAGGACAGCTAGCTAAATGAGAGTTAAAAACTACGGATGTTGTCATAAGATTTCTAGAGTTTAGTTCAGTGACACTGCATGAAGTTTCATATAGCTGCTTACTATACATTTTCTTCCTATCATTTAGAATAGTATAGCTCTGAGCTAGAGGTCACATGGCTGAATAAATTAATTTCAAGACTATCTATAACTAGAAATCAGGGATTATAGAATTAAAAAAAATTGATGTAAAATAGAGCTCAACACAATATAATTTTTATTAAGACTTTGGCAAGTCTTATGTCATATTAAATGTCTTGTGACTACTTTCTGTGATGATTGATAGGTTTCCTGGGACTGGAAGTCATAAATGAGCCACTGGGAAAGACCAGCTGTAGCTTCGTGTCTCTTGAACTTTTGCTATAATATTTATTTTTCATTGACTGAATAAGAATAAATTGTATCTTCAGAAGAAAAACAACTCTCTCCCAACCAAATGCTATAAGAGGGATGAACAATAAGATCTATGACTAAAGTTAGGACCACGTTGCAATGCCACATTAAACACATTTAATGGAAAATGATTATAGAGATATTTACCAATATGAAATATACTGCAGAAATTTCAGATGAAAAATGACTATCTTGAGAGTGAAAGGAGAAATAACTGTTATGGTAAAATATCCAATATTTATGGGATAACTCTAAATTACTATTGAACAGCTGTATGTACACCGACAGCTCTTAAATCTTATTCCAACAAGCTTGTAAAATGCATAATTCATCTTCCCTGCTTTCTCTAAGTAGGAAATGGATTAGATACAATGAGACCTCAGAGACCCTGAATGTTTTTCAATGGCTTATTCTCTCAACAGTCTTAGGTCCCAACTTTGTTCCAGAGACTGAAGGTCCAGTACTTTCCAGTAGAATGCTAAGTGAGATGGCAGTTTCTAAAAGCACCAATCTAGTGTGACATTTAGGTGTGAAGAAAGTGACACAAGACAAGCCTACTCATACTATGGGGCACTTAGATTCCAAAGCCATGTCCCAGGTCTCTAAGACTGATGCCAGAATAGCTCATTGCAAAGAAATGAGGCTTGAAACTGAAAAATATTTTAATAACTTTGGTGATAATGTGGTCAGTTTTCGATACTCTGTATAGAATATTCATATATAATGATATTCTTGGAAATATCGGTAATTAATTTTCATGATATGTAATCATTTGGGCATCATGACTATGAAAAAGTCAATCAACATCTAACCACTTCTAGTTACAGTATGCTCTATTTGAGTACAAATTTGTTCTCTATTTCTTCAGGGTTTCCACAAACCATACTTACTAATAATAGTTCATGTTTTTTTCTTATTCAAATTTCTAAATTAGTTGTTTTCAAACTTCCTCATGTGTGACACTTTAATAGAGTTCCTTATGTTATTGTGAACCCCAACCATAAAATTATTTCATTGAAATGCTACAACTGTAACTTTGCTATTGTTATGAAGCATAAAGTAAATATCTGATATGCAGGATATCTGATATGTAATAGCCAAAGAGGTCTCCACCCACAGGTTGAGAACCACTGTTCTAAATGCTCAAGTCAGGAATATCAACACATAAATTACCATGAACTTATAGACTGGAATTTGAAATAAAATTTCGTTGTCACTGAATGAGTAGTTATCAAGGATGGTACTATTAGGAGGTAAGGCCTTGTTGGAACAAGTGTTTCACTGAGGGTGTGGGCTTTGAAGCTCTATCCAGTATGGAAGAATCAGTTTTTCTCCTGGCTGAAGTTAGATCAAGATATAAATCTCTCAGCTACTCCTGTGCTATGTGTGTATGGTACCTGCCATGCTCCCATCTTGATGACAATGGACACAACCTCTGAACTTGTAAGCTATCTTAAATTAAATATTTTCTTATAAAAGAGTTGCCTTGGTCATGGGGTCTCTTTACAGCAATGGAAACTCTAACTAAGACATGTATGCATTCAGCACCACATAATAATTTTTAGTAGATTCTGCATTGAATTTATTGTTAGTCCATTAAGAATCTACCACAGAACACGTGTTCAGGAAGCCCCCCAAATGAATTAATCCACCTTTATTGAATTCTACTTTGTGCATGTATCTTCAACATCACACAGGTGTAGTTGCCACGTGGAAGCAGTAAGAGTCAGCTTAAAGGACCTCCACATAAAACCAGATACACTGAAACTAATAGAAGAGAAGGTGGGGAAGACCCTCAAATACTTGGGCACAGGGGAAAAGTTCCTGAACAGAACACCAATGGCATATGCTCTAAGATCAAGAATTGACAAATGGGACTTCATAAAATTGCAAAGTTTCTGTAAGGCAAAGGACACTGTCAATAGGACAAAACGACAACCAACAAATTGGGAAAAGATCTTTACCAATCCTACATCTGATAGAGGGCTAATATCCAATATATACAAAGAACTCAAGAAAGTAGACACCAGACAACCAAATTACCCTATTAAAAAATGGGGTATAGAGCTTAACAAAGAATTTTCAATGGAAGAAACTCGAATGGCCAAGAAGCACCTAAAGAAATGTTCAGTATCCTTAGTCATCAGGGAAATGCAAATCAAAACAACCCTGAGATTCCATCTCACAGCAGTCAGAATGGCTAAGATTAAAAACTCAGGTGATAGTAGATGCTGGCGAGGGTGTGGAGAAAGAGGAACACTCCTCCATTGTTGGTGGGACTGCAAGATGGTGCAACCACTTTGGAAATCAGTGTGGCGGTTCCTCAGAAAATTGGACATAGCATTACCCGAGGATCCAGCTATACCACTCCTAGGCATATACCCAGAAGATGCTCGAACATATAACAAGGACATATGCTCAACTATGTTCATAGCAGCCTTATTTATAATAGCCAGGAGCTGGAAAGAACCCAGATGTCCTTCAACTGAGGAACTGATTCAAAAAATGTGGTATATTTACACAATGGAGTATTACTCAGCTATTAAAAACAATGAATTCGAGAGGTTCCTAGGTAAATGGATGGAACTAGAAATTATCATCCTGAGTGAAGTAAGCCAAGTTCATGTGTGTTCACAAAAGAACACACATGGTATTCACTCACTGATTATTGGATATTAGCCCAGAACCTTGAAATGCCCAAGATGCAACTCACAGGCCACATGAAGCCCATAAAAAAGGAAGACCAAGTGGGGGTGATTCAGTTCTTCTTAGAAGGAGCAACAAAATACTCAAGGGAGCAAACGTGGAGACAAAGTGAGGGACAGAAACTGAAGGAGGGGCCATTTGAAGACCTTTCCACCTGAGTATCCACCCCATATGCAGTCACCAAAGGTAGATGCTGATGTGGAAGTCAGGAAGTACATGCCGATAAGGGCCTGATATGGATGTCTCCTCAGA